GTGAATACCAAAGATGCACCTCTCTGACTAAATATGGAGACGGGGACAATTTGTAATGAAAAACCAACTCAAACCAACTTAGGCACAAAAATACATGTATCCACCCACATCTCTGAGGTGTCTGGAAATATGGCTGCTTGAAGCAGGCCTGGTCCTGTGATTCCAATGTCATCAAAATTCTCTATCCACATGCTTCTCCCTGGGTGTTCCTCTTGCTGTCCTGTTCTGCAGACAGAATTCTCTGTGTGACAGAGAATGTGGCCTAAAGCAGCACAGGACGCATCCCGTTGCAGGATGAGATCCTGAGACAAGATCCTGGTTCCAAGTGAAAATATCCCAGGAAAGAATTCTGACTGGTCCCGCTGGAGCCACATCCTACACCCTTCACATTGGCCAGGCCAATTTCACTAAAAAAAAAAAAAAGTGAAACAGGGGTTTGAGTACCCAGCTTGTGGTCAGGGGGAGGAGGTGTATGATGGAAGGAGTCAGAAGATGATTTGGTTTGGGAGACAGAGGAGAGAGCCAGACTCAGAAAATAGCGACTTTTCAGTCCATAATGGAACCAGCAGCCCATTTTCTTTACGTATTCCGTTGCTGATCAGTCTGCATTTAACAAGGATCGGTTAACAGTTAACTGGTTGTAGGCTTGCAGACTACTAGATGGTCTGGATGAGACAGTGGGGCAACAGAGCAAGAGGAAATAATCTGCCCTGGAGACGGGTGGGGATAGGGGTTGAGATAGGGGATGGGGGTGAGGGGTATGGGAGGGGTGCTCTGGAAGCAAGGATTTCCTCTGACACTCACTGTCTACATACTCTGTCTCTCTGTCTCTCTCAAAAAAAAAAAAGATAAAAAAGAAATTAATGTAGCTTAATCATACCCAATTTATATTCTAAGTTAACTAATTAATACAAAAGGGTGATAATTTTCCTTTAAAACTCACAAATGTAATCTACGGATACACGATTTTGAGAATGATTTATTAAAACTTTTTTTTAAAGTTTATTTATTTATTTTCGGAGAGAGAGAGAGCAAGCCAGCAGGGGAGGGGCAGAGAGAGAGGGAGAGAGAATCTCAAGCAGGCTCCATGCTGCCAATGTGGAATCCGATGTGGGACTCGAACCCACAAACTGTGAGATCATGACCTGAGCTGAAACGAAGAGTCAGACACTTAACCTACTGAGCCACCCAGGTGCCCCAATTTTGAAAACAACTTAATATGTGAACTTCAACATACAACTCTATTCTTGTAAGAAAGGATCTTGTAAGAAACTGATCCTTACAAGACCAAAGTAGCCCATAAGCCATGAGGTTGGGTTTTATTTTTTTCCTTATCTTTTTTAAACAAACATGCAGCACAATGTTTGAAGTCAGGCAAATGCTGTGATTGTGGAAGTTGTAGTTTGCCAAGAATACAGGGGAGTTGAATTAGAAGTGGTGGCCATGCTAATTAAACAGTTGCAGGTAACATCATGTTAAGGCAGTCTGCAGCCTGAAAATGGTTGAAGTTCTTTAAAATTTACTTATTTATTTTGAGAGAGAGAGAGAGAGAAGAAGAGAGAGAGAGAAGGCAGAGAGAGAATCTTAAGCAGGCTCTGCACTGTCAGCACAGAGCCTGATGCAAGACCATGACCTGAGCCAAAACCAGGAGTAAGATGCTCAATGGATGGAGCCACCCAGGCGCCCCTGAGTTTCTTTTCTTCCTTCCTTTCTTTTTTTCTTTCCTTCCTTCCTTCCTTCCTTCCTTCCTTCCTTCCTTTCCTTCCTTTCTTTTTTTCTTTCCTTCCTTCCTTCCTTCCTTCCTTCCTTCCTTCCTTCCTTCCTTCCTTCCTTCCTTCCTTCCTTCTTTCCTTCCTTCCTTCCTTCCTTCCTTCCTTCCTCCCTTTCTCTCCTTTCCTCTCCTCTCCTTTCCTCTCCTCTCCTCTCCTCTCCTTTCCTTTCCTTTCCTTGATGATTAGAAGTCTCACGTTGCCTCCAGTCTCTTTGTTATGTTTTATGTGAGTCCCATCACAGAATGGGAACTTTCCAGACCTTCAGTAATCGCGGTGCACAGCCTTATCTCCCAAACCCTCCCTGTCAAAAGCATGTACTGTCTTGGAGTTGTCTTTCTGGATGTGAAAGCTGACCGGAGCTTTGCTGCAGTGGTTTTTACATAAAATCTTTCGTAAGCTGGATGATCGATTGGAGCTGTTCCAGCAGCAGGAGGTGACTCCTGTGATCCATTCAGCTAGTTAGAGTGGAATTGGAAGTCAGTCTCATGGCTTGCAAAGTGTGTACACAGGACACTGAGCACAAACGGACTCCCCTCTCCCCCATATCAATTAAAAAAAAAAAGTTTATTGAGAGAGAAAGAGCACAAGCCAGGGAGGGGCAGAGAAAGCGACAGAGAATCCAAAGCAAGCTCTACACTGTCAGTGCAGAGCTGGACATGGGGCTCCATCCCACGACCACGAGATCATGACCTGAGCTGAAATCAAGAGTTGGACGCTCAACCAACGGAGCCACCCTTGAGCCCCACCCCGCCATAGCAAGTTTTGATTTATTGGTAAATTCAAAGCCAGTTTGTGTGCAAAAATCCACATATTTGACAATAGTTTAGTAATCTTTCCTTGCTTGTTGTCTTCTACTATGCATTTTGTGGGCCTTATTCTCATAACCAGCAATAAACAGTCATATCTGACCACATTTGACATCAGCCGAAGTCTTGGGTCTGAGTATAAAAATCCTAGTAAGGTTGCTCAGCTTTGCCCAGAGCCAGTGACTGACAAAGCCAGAACACAGGCTCAGGGTATTCTAAGAAGTACTTGTAGTTCCTACATCTTTTTACCTAGAGCACAGAAAGGAGGAAGAAAAGGATATCATCTCTCTCTCTCTTTTTAAAAAAAGTTTATTTACTTAGAGAGAAAGACAGAGAAGGAGAGAGAGAGAAGAGCGAGCTGAGAGGGGCAGAGCAAGAGAGAGAGAGAATCCCAAGCAGGCTCCACACTACCAGCATGGAGCCCAGTGCAGGGCTCGAACTCTTGAACCATGAGATCATGACTTGAGCTAAAATCTAGAGTTGATGCTTAACCGACTGAGCCACCCAGCCTCCCCCGACCCCCAAAAGGATGTCATCTCTTTTATTGGCTGTATCAGTCTGCTGGGGCCGCTATAACAAAATAGCACAGACTGGAGGGCTTCAACAACAGCAATGTGTTTTCTGGAGCCTGGAGTTTAAGATCAAGGTGTTGACAGGTTTGGTTTCTGCTGCAGCTTCCTCCTTGGCTTGTTGATAGAGAAGGATATTCCGTAGTATTATTCATCCTGAGAAGATGGCCGAGTTCTATGATAGGACTCAAGTGGCTTTGGAAATTTTTTTAAATGTTTATTTTCGAGAAAGAGAGAGAGAACACGAACTGGGGAGGGGCAGAGAGAGAAGGGGACAGAAGATCTGAAGCAGGCTCTGCACTGACAGCCCCGATGCAGAGCTTGAACTCACAAACTGTGAGATCATGTCCCGAGCTAAAGCCAGATTGATGCTTAACTCATAGAGCCACGCAGGCGCCCCAGGAAAAGTGGCCTTTAAACTGAAGGAGGTACTAGGTAGCAGAGAGGAACATGCTGCAAAACCGGACCAGGGCTCTGTGCCACTGTAATTTGGGCACTAAAAGGAAGGATGTGTGACCTGGGGTAGAAGGGAGTAGATTCTGGGATGTGATGTGATGTTTTACATCTTTATTTTGTGATGCTTGTATATGGATAAATGATTTGTTCCAAGCCAAGTGGCTAAAAAGTACTAGAACCGGAATGCTAGCTCAAGAGCTTCAGATCTGAATTTCTTAAATTCTCTACCGCAGCCCTCAGAAATATCACTGTCTTTTTAGTAGCACCATCCCCTTTGCCTCACAGTTCTTTGGCTGCTTGTGCCCTTGAATCTCTTTAACCAGAGCCGCCTGGGTGGCTCAGTTGGTTAAGCATCCGACTTCGGCTCAGGTCATGATCACACAGTTCATGGGTTTGAGCCCTGCGTTGGGCTCTGTGCCGACAGCTCAGAGCCTGGAGCCTGCTTCCAATTCTGTGTCTCCCTCTCTCTGTGCCCCTCCCCTGCTCACACGCTGTCTCTCTCTGTCTCTCGAAAATGAAAAAAATGTTTAAAAAAATAAAAAAAAAAAAAACCCTCTCAAACTTGATGTTGTCCAATCTGCTTTCCATGGGACTGTTGAGCACTTGGAATGTGGCCAGTATGAACTGAAATTGTGCTGTAATGGTAACATACATATGAGATGTCAAAGACTTAGTAAAAAAAACAAAAAAGAAAAAAGAATACAAAATGTCTCAAATAATTTTTATATTGATTTTATGTTGAAATGATAACATTTTAGATTTACTGTAGTAGATAACGTGTATTATTAATATTCATTCCTTCTATTTCTTTTAACTTTTTAAAATGGAGCTGTTAGAAAATTCCCAGTTACCTATATGGTTTGCATCTGTGGTCTGCCTTCTGTCATCTATTAGAGTCACCGCTCTGCCTATTGTCCGTCCTGTTGGGAAACTTGCTGAAATGCCTTGTCCCAGAGATAGACATCATACATCTTCTCCCTTACCCACCCTCCTTTCCCCTGTTCCCCCAGATTAAAAAAATTTTTTTTAATGTGTATTTATGTTTGAGACAGAGAAAGACAGAGCGTGAGTGGAAGAGGGGCAGAGAGAGAGACACACACACACAGAATCGGAAGCAGGCTCCAGGCTCTGAGCTGTCATCACGGAGCCCGACGCGGGGCTCGAACCCACAAACCGTGAGATCGTGACCTGAGCCGAGGTCGGATGCTTAACCGACTGAGCCACTCAGGCGCCCCCACACTGTAGGTGATTGAACAGTGTTTATTGAATGACTAATGACTGAGGAAACAGTCCTATGTTTCATTTTACAGCTAGCAAAAACGGAGAGGAACTTGGTGTTTTAAGGGAAAGCCTCGACTCATCATTCCCTCCAGCTCCGGTCCTGGGGTTGGAAGTGTCTATGGCGGTGGCGCTGCTGGCAAGGAGTCACCGGCCACATCTCTGCTTTCTGTGGTGTCACTCCTGGCAGAAGTAGCAGTGTATGTGATCTTCCATGAGATCGTAGGGCTGGTGGTGGCAGAGTTTACAGTGGTGGCATTTGGGATGAGGAGGGTGTTGACGCTGGCCAAAGGGCTGATGCTTTTGGTTCCGGGGAGAAGAGATACAATATGGTATTTTGTCTGTGTCACAGCATAAGGCTTCTTTGTAGCCTGTAGGTGTTCTTGGGAGTTCCCTTCAAGTGTGTGGGACATTTCATTTTGCATGTAGTTTTTGATCATTTGAACCACTTTTGGTCCAATGCAACATTTTTTCTTCTTGCATTTCTGTATCTCTTTTTCACCCACGGCACAGTAGTCTTTGCATCTCCCAAAACCCATTAAACATCTTCTCAAGCCAAAGGACTCTGCACAAAGAAGAGAAAACAAACAAACAAACAAACAAACAAACAAAACCATTGAACTAAGGTTAATAGCTAGATATGATGTCAAGACTGTCGGAGGGAGAGGAATAGAGTAAGAGGGTGTTCATCAACGCTAAGTTTAAAAAAATGTTTTATTTTTATTTTTTTTATTTTTGGGAGACAGAGAGAGACAGACTGTGAACAAGGGAGGGACACAGAGAGAAGGACACACAGAATCCAAAGCAGACTCCAGACTGAGCCATCAGCACAGAACCCAACGCAGGGCTCAAACTCATGGACCATGAGATCATGACCTGAGCCGAAGTCAGCCACTTAACCGACTGAGCCACACCTATTAATGCTAAATTTTAAGAGCAGTGCCAGGGATGTTCATGGAAGTACCCAGCAGGCTAAGAAAGTCTCTGTACACCCCTGAAATCCAAAATAAATCTCTCTAGTCCCCCTCATTGAGTAACTTTAAAAATCCAGGGCACACAGAGGAAGGGAAAAAAGGAAACACATTTTTTTTCGCATTAGGATATGATTTTATTTATTTATTAATAATGTATTTTTAAAGTTTATTTATTTGAGAGAGAGAGCATGAGCAGGGGAGGGGCAGAAAGGGAGGGAGGGAGAGAGACAGAGAGAGAGAGAGAGAGAGAGAGAGAGAGAGAATCCCAGGCAGGCTCCTTGCTGTCAGCTTGAGCCCACCAATCATGAGATCGTGACCTGAGCTGAAACCAAGAGTCAGAGGCTTAACTGTGACTGGCCCCCCAGGTGGCCTCAGGCTATGATTTTAGACCTCCAACTTAGCATCTTAGACACTTACAGAGCATCACTATCTCTCCTCACGATCCTAGGAAATACCAACAAGAGCAAAATCTGTCATAAAACAAATCCAAGAAAGAACTTCAAAGGAATCAAGAGGACTTTTAGGAGAGCTGGCTTCTTGCCAAACCCACTGGTCCATGACTTCACTGTCCTTGGCAATTGCTTGACCTGGGGCTCCTGGGGCATGGTGTTCTACCATTTTCAACCTCTCTGGACATTCTGTCCCTCAGAGTTCTTGTTCATGATCATAGCCTTCGCCCCATCTCTACCAAGGTAACTCCCGCATGGTTATCTACAGCCCTACATTCTCTTCTTAGTTTAGAACCCCATCTTCATCTGCTGATTTTTTTTCATCCCAGTGTCTCACTTTTTTTCTGAATCAAGAAAGTTCCCTCTCGCTCTATCTTAACAATTCAACCAATTTCCCATAAATAACAAGAGGCTTATGTAGCACCTAATCTTCACACACATTTCAACACCGTTTCTCTCCAGAGACAAAACAATAAAATTCGTATATTTCAGGCAGCTGCATTGATTAAACTGCCATGCTCATGTGGATTTGAGGCTCAAAGTGGCTACGTGACTTTACTCAAGACGACACGACCGGCCGTACTTGCTTATGTTATTACTCTTCTTGTAAGGCCCTGGGGGAAAAACATGAGAAATATCTTGACTTTTGCACTTTCCCTTCCCTGACCCATTGCCAATTGTTATAAATATCTGGGTGATTGTCGTATTCTGAAAGAAGTCTCAGTGCTTCTCTTTTCTTTCCAAAAAACAACAGTCAGTCCTCTGGTTTTGCATTTTGCCATGGTGCATTCCTAGATACCCTGATGAGGGATTGGGGAGTGTCCGAGAAGACAAGGGATGGCACTTTACACATCTGAAAACATTGAGATGGAGAACATAGTTCTACTTACCGGATCCTTAGAGGAGTTTTTTTTGAGCCCGCAAATACTCCGTATTATCCCAAAGTATAAACTGCTAGGAACATTTGCTCCAAAGGATAGTTTAAATTAGAAATAGAGCAAAAATGAGGTAGACTTGGCCGAGTCCCAGATGATAGCTATGTAGAGGGCAGGAAGACAGCCTTTATGTGCACAGAAAACACCCTGCTTCCTCTGTAGCTCTCTGGATAGACCTGTCGGACAGAGTCTAGGGTTGGGGTCTCTGGGGGTGCGTGGGGGACGGTGCGTGACCGAGGCGGTAGGCACACTCTTCGGCCATCTGTTTGGGCACCTCCTTTGTCAGCGGAGCTTGGGTTCCCATTGTCACGGACAAGCCAGATTCCTGCTTCCTCACACCACGCCCTTTGAGTCCCAGGATTCCATATTACCTGTGTTCACCTGGTACTGCAGCATGAGGCTGGCAAAGATAGGAAAAAGGAGCTTCATGGCTGGGTGCCAGAGAGGAGGCCTTGGATCTGGGTTGGTGTTCCTGGGCTCCAGCCTTTATTGGCCTCTTCATGGCCGTAGGCTATGAGCAGTGAAGTACAGCCCCGGCTGACAGCAGGTGTGTTTTCACCGATTCTATCTGAGAAGAGCTTTCCTGAACACTTCCGTGCAATATCCTCCCCCGCTCTTGATCCTGGGGGAAACATAAGACATATGAGATGTGAGAGAAAGTGCTAGCCCTTTGCCTTCCTCCCTCTTAATGTGTGAGCATGGCAAGGGTAGTATATTTGTTTTTCTATTTGTCAGCTAATTATGCCTAAGGCACTTAGTGTGGCAGAGGCAGAAGAGCAGAAATCGCTACAACCATGGACTTCTGGAGGGCCGTCTCTGTTTTTGTACTGGAGTCTCCACTGTTTAGCATGGGCACTGGGTTACCATGACAATTCAGGACATGTGTGTGTTGAATGAGTTTCTTGTAGGCAGCTCTTGGCATAACTAAAAAAAAAAAAAGTTTATTTATTTATTTTGGAAGAGAATGAGAATGAGCTAGCAGGGGAAGAGCTAGAGAGAGAGAGAGAGAGAGAGAGAGAGAAAATCCCAAGCAGGTTTCATGGTACCAGCACAGATCCTGATGTGGGGCTCAATCTCACGAACCATGATGCCGATAACCTGAGCCGAGATCAAAAGTCGGTTGCTTGGGGCGCCTGGGTGGCTTAGTCGGTTGAGCGTCCGACTTTCGCTTAGGTCATGATCTCGCGGTTCGTGGGTTCGAGCCCCGCGTCGGGCTCTGTGCTGACTGCCAGCTCAGAGCCTGGAGCCTGTTTCAGAGTCTGTCACTCCCTCTCTCTCTGACCCTCCCCTGCTCACGCTGTCTCTCTCTCTCTCTCTCTCTCTCTCCTAGAATAAATAAAAAAAAACATTAAAAAAAAAAAAGTCGGTTGCTTAACCAACTGAGCCACCCAGGTGCCCCTTGGCATAACTTGGACTTGTTTTTTATTGAGATATAATTGACATATTACATATTTGTTTCAAGTGTACAACATAATGATTTGATACTTGTGTATATTGTGAAATGATTACAATATTAAGTCTAGTTAACATCCATCGCCAAACTTTTTAGATTTACTGTCTAGCAACTTTCAAATATACAATACAGTATTATTAACTATAGTTGCCATGTAGTACATTACATCCCCGGGACTTACTGATTTTCTAACTGGACATTTGTGCCATTTGATGATCTTTACCCATTTTGCTTCCCTCTCGTCTCCGCACTCTAGGCAGCCACCAATCTGTTCTTTGTGTCTGTGAGTTCATCTTTTATTTCAGAGGCTACATATAAGTGAGATCATACAGTATTTGTCTTTCTCTGTCTTGGCCTAATTCACTTAGCGTAATGTCCTCAAGGTCTATCCATGTTGTTGCAAAGGGCAGTATTTCCTTTCTTATGGCCAAATAATATCCCATTTTATCTATATTACGTTTTCTTTATCCGTTCATTCATCAGTGGACACTAAAGATTGCTTTGATGTTTTGCTATTGTAAATAATGGTATAATGAACATAGAGGCATAATGTTTTTGTTTCTTTCAGAAAAATACCCATAAATGGAATTGCTGGATCATATGATAGATCTATTTGTCATTTTTTGAGGAATCTCCATACTGTTTTCCATAGTGGTTGCATCCATTTAGCATTCCTACAAAAGTGCATTAAGGGCTTTGTTTTTCCCACATTCTTGCCAACACTTGTTATTTCTTGTCTTTTTGGTAATAGCTACGCTAACAGGTGTGAAGTGATATTTCATTGTGATTTTGATTTGCATCTCCCCAATGATTAGTGATATTGAGTACCTTTCAATGAACTGCTTGGCCCTCTGTATGTCTTCTCTGGGCAAATGTCTATTCAGATTCTCTATCCATATATAGTCAGATATGTTGTTGTTGAATTGTTTGAGTTCTTTATATATTTTAGATACTAATCCCTTATCAGATATGTGATTTGCAAATATTTTCTCCCATTCGGTAGTCTGCCTTTTCCTTCTGTTGATGGTCTCCTTTGCCGTGTAGAAGCTTTTTGGTTTAATGTAATCCCATTTGTTTGTTTTTGCTTTTGGTGTCAAATCCAAAAAAATCACTGCCCAGACCGATATCAGGGAGCTTACTGCCCAAGTTTTCTTCTAGGAGTTTATGTTGTCAGATCTTATTTTCAAGTCTTTAATCCACTTTGAGTTAATTTTTGTGTACAATGTAAAGTAGTGGTACAGTTTTGCAAATTCTTGTGTGACTGTTCAGTTTTCCCAGCACTGTTTATTGAAGGGACTGTCCTTTCCCTATTGTATATTCTTGGCTTCTTTGTCATTAACGGATTGACCATATATGTGTGAGTTTTTTTCTGGGCGCTCTCTTCCTTTCTGTTGTTCTGTGTGTCAGGTTTCAGGCCCAGACCATACTGTTTTGATTACTATAGCTTTGTAATCTAATTTGAGAAAAGGAAGCACAAGGCCTACAGCTTTGTTCTTTTTCAAAGATGCTTTGGCTGTTTGGGATCCTTTGTGGTTCTATTCAAATTTTAGAACTGGTTGTTCTATTTCTATGAAAAACTCTTTTGGAATTTTGATAGGGATTGCATTGAATCTATAGACTGTTTTGGGTAGTATTACATTTTAACAATACCAATTCTTCCGACGATGAGCATGAAATATCTTTCCATTATTTGCGTCATCTTCAATTTCTAGCATCAGTGTCTTATATTTTCAATATGGGTCATGAAAGTATAGGTCACCTCCTTGGTTAACTTTATTCCTAGCTATTTTATTCTTTTAGACAAAGTTGTAAATGAGATTGTCTTCTTAATTTCTCTAAGAGTTCAATATTCGTGTTTAGAAACACAGTTGAATTTTGTATATTGATTTTGTGCCCTGAAGCTTCACTGAATCACTAATTAGTTTTACCAATGTTTGGTGGCGTCTTTAGGGTCTTTTGTGTAATAATATATCATGTGCAAATAGTGACAGTTTTACTTCTTTTCTGACATGGATGCCCTTAGTTTCTTTTTCTTGCCTAATTGCCCTGACAAGGATTTCCCATACTTTGTTGAAAGAAAAGTGGTGAGAAAGGGCATCTTTGCCTTTTTCCCGATCTTAGAGGAAAACTGTTCAGCTTTTCTCCATTGAGTATGATGTTAGCTGTGGACTTGTCATATCTGGTCTTTATTGTGTTGAGGTATGTTTCCTTTATAACCATTTTGTTGTGAGTTTATATTATAAATGGATGCTGAATTTTGTCAAATGCTTTTTCTGCATCTATTGAGATGATCATATGATTTTTATCTTTTATTTTATTGTGTCACATTGATTGATTTGCAGACATTTGTCCATTCTACGTCCCTGGAATAAATTCCTCTTGATCATGGTGTATGATAGTTTTAATGTGCTGCTGAATTTGGCTTGCTAATAATTTATTGAGGAGTTTTGCATCTATGTTCATTAAAGATATTTGCCTGTAATTTTCTTTTCTTATAATATTCTTGTCTGATTTTGGTGTCAGTAATGCTGGCCTCATGATGCTGTTATAAGTTATTTTGCTACTTTTACTTTTTAGCCTTCATACTTCATAAGTAATTAAACTATCACTTTTGCAACATTAGATTATTCTGAATTTTACTATACATTTACTTTTACCAGCACAATTTATACTTTCATGGTTTCCTGTTACTAATTAGTACCCTTTCGTTTCAGCTTAAAGAAGTCCCTTTAACATTTCTTGTAAGGCTGGTCTACTTGTGTTAAATTCCTTTAGCTTTTGCCTATCTAGAAAACTCTGTATGTTTCCATCAAGTCTGAAGACCAGTTTTGCCAGGTAGAGTAGTCCTGATAGGCAGTTTTTCTTTCAGTCCTACGCATATACTGTGCCACTTTGTTCTGGTTTGCAACGTTTCTGCTGAAAAAATCTGCTCATTTTGTCCTATGGGGGTCCTTGTATGTAACAAGTTGTTTTTCTTTTGCTTCTTTTAATGATTCTCCTCTTGTCTTTAAAATTTGAAACTTTAATTATAATGGGCCTGGTATGGGTCTCTTTGGGTTCACAGTTTTTGGAACTCCCTGGGCTTCCTGGATCTGATTGTCTTGTTTCCTTCCCAAGGTTAGGGAGATTCAGTCATGATTTCTTCAAATAAGTTTTGTGCCCCTTTTTCTTTCTCGTCTCCTTCTGAGACCCCTGTAATGTGAATGTTGGTTTGCTTGTTATTATCCCATAAGTCCCTTAAGCTTTCTGCTCTTTGTATCATTCTTTTGGCTTTTTGCTGCTCTGATGGGGGAATTCTGCTGCCCTTTGTGGTCACTGATCCTTTCTTCTGCTGCATCTAGTCTGCTGTCAACCCCCTCCCCCCCATTGTACTTTTCAATTCAGTGCTTGTACTCTTTTTAAAAAATATATTTATTTTTTGGGAGAGTGCAAGTGGGGGAGGAACAGAGAGAGGGGAACAGAGGATCTGAAGTGGGCTCTGCAGACAGGCTGACAGCAGCAAGCCTAATGTGGGACTTGAACTCAAAAATTGCATGATCATGACCTTAGCCCCAGTTGGATGCTCAACCAACTGGCCACCCAGGCACCCCCACTTGTCATATTCTTGAGCTCTGTGACTTTTACTCCTCACTTTTTTATATTTTCTATTTCTTTGTTGAAATTCTCACTTTGTTTATCCATTCATCTTCTGAGCTTGGTGATCATCTTTATGACCATTATTTTGAACTCATTATCTGGGAAATCAGTTATCTATTTTCATTAATCTTTTTCTGAAGTTTTATTGTATTCCTTTGTTTGGAACATATTCCTCTGTTTCTTCATTTTTCTTGACTCTGTGTGTTGGTTTCTATGCATTAGATGAAACAGCCACCTCTCCCAGTCTTGATTGATTTGCATCATGTAGGAAATGACTCTTACTGTTCAACCTTACCCTGACTTTGGTTTTCTCTCAAATCGTTGTGATTGTCCTAGCTAC